ATATAAATTGAACTAGTTTGTTAAGAAATAAGTATAACTTATAAATAATCATATTTTATGATATATTTCATAAGTTGTTATTTCTCCAATAAATATTATTTCCACAAATAATAAAGTCCTAATTAGTAAAATATTATTTCCATGAAATAATAATTTTCCAACTAAATACAAGTGTTGATATATTTATTAATAATCAAATTATACTAATAAATAATCAACTGACAGTAACTTGCTATATGGTGTGACCCTATAGAATCATATATTATTAGCAATATCATTATATAATGACTCTTGGGCATACTAGATCTTTCATATCCAAGATCAACCATTAGGTAGCAGAGATAACAAATAACTTTGATCTAGAAGACTCAAAACAATATGGATCTAACTCAATAAATCTAAGCTACTTATTAGGACACAATAGTTAGACATATACCTTTGATCCCTTGGGAGGTTTCTTCTTTTGATGAGCCGCTTGGATGCACTAGAAAACCTAACATAGAGTTCCGCTTCTAAAATTTCATCGAAGACACAAGATAGAAGCAGATCCAAGCAATCCTCAAACTATTAGCTTCAAACACAACTGAAGAATCGATTCAGCTATTGACCACGACGTAGTGATCTCGCTGCCATGACATGGAAACTGCACTCCGGGAATTCTTAGGATTTTTGGAATATCCGAACTTTTGATAGCTGAAGGGTTATCTCTCATATCTCAGAACCAGATTTAGATCGCCCTTTGTATAGGGTGGTGATTTTAAACCCTAGAGATAATAACCAAATTTAATTATCATTGTCTATGAAATTCAAATCATTTTGGAATATTCCGTATTATATTACTTTCAAATTAATTAATTAAACTATTAATTAATTTAAAAAACTAGTCCTTCATATAAATATCTTTTCAGATATGTTCTTATTTTGTTCTTGTGTGTAACCCAAAAGGACATTGTTATTTATATAATATTATTGGGTTTGTTATGACTTTGGGCATTAATCTCCCTTTGCTTCTACTTGTACCTAGGAATTAACAATTGACAGGTCTAATACTTACGCGAAACAACAATGAGTGGTAGTCCAATGCAACTATTGTACTTATGACAAAATTGATATAAACAATCCTAAGACTAATAACTTCAAATTCATTTGATCTTCATGATATCTTATTATAAACTAGAGACATGAATCTATGGTCAGTCTCATAGTTTAAGATTATATTCTCGATACCGACTTGTGGTGACATTCAGATTGACTATCGATTATAATCAACTAAGTCTCAGCTTGGCCAAGCACTTGTTGTCAAACCAAATCAACGAGGTGCCCAAAGATATATATTTCTCCATTTCTGGAAGAAGGATCAAATAAACTTTAACTACATAGGTTAGTACTATTCCTCATGCAATATCTAGTCAAAACATGTATGATTTCTAGTTATGGACAACGTTAGGGGAAAACCAAGACATAATAGGTTATAGAACATAAGCTCATGCATCTCCATTTGAAGAATATGAAACATAGTCTTCTTAGTTTACTCATGACATGATCCATGGAGTAATATTTAAGTGTGGTTACTCTAATACTTAAAATTTCCATTTTTAAGTACTCATCAGTATCGATCGCATGGATTTGATATGTTCATCCCTATGAACAATCTACCAATACTATGACAATTTTTATTCACTGGTGGTATGTCAGAAACACTCTTCTTAGGGTTGGAATTAGGAGCACCCACTTTTCCTTTCTCTTTTCCCTTGATATTGGGATGAGATGGCCTCTTTCTCTTGACACCACCTTCCCTAATAGCCAACACATGAGTTGTTGAACTTGTGTTCCTAGGTGGAAAAATTCTTTCCTCAGTAGTCTTGAGCATCCCACGTAGCTCCATGATAGTCTTTTCCAAACCATTCATATAGTAGTTCATAGTGAACTACTTGTATGCACTAGTCAATGAGTTAAGAATGCCATAAATAGTCAACTCTTGAGTGAATGGGAAGCCAAGATGTTTTAGAACATGGGTACTTACAGTACCACCCTCATGTTTCTTGCAACCTAGAATTCATTGCATCACCTTGAATTTCTCAGTCCGAGCTTGCTCTTGGAACATGTCCTTGAGCCGATCGTTTATTTGGTACGCCCCAATGTTTTGAGGCTCTTTTGGAGTTCAGAGTACATGGTTGCCAACATCAGCCACGAGACCTCAATAGAGTGACAATGATGCTTTTCATGTTTGGTTGCTTTATCTTCAGTAGCATCATCAGGAAGCTCCTCTTCAAGATACTCGTCCAACACATACTCCTTCTTTTCGTACCTAAAAGTGATCCTTAGGTTATGAATCCAATCAAGGTAGTTAGGACTAGTGAGCTTATCTCGTAATAGGAGTCAAAGTAATGAGAAGTTTGATGAAGTGGTTGGTGCAGGAGAAGGAGTAGCAGCCGAAGTAGAAGACATCTATACAAAGAAAAAACACAATTAGTTGGATCAAGAAATCATTTTAATATAATTACCCAATAAAAATTATTAAACAAAAAGGCTAGGATCCATATTTGGATTCACGATGTAAAGTGGATTAGCCGAAAATTACAAAGTGAAGTCATTTAGTTGGACAAACTATTGCCAGTCATAATCTCTATGAGATTCCTAGAAACGAGATTTTTTGACATATGTCAATAGCATGTCAATCTCTTCTTATGCTCATTTAGCAATTATGGCTGGATTAGCCGAGGATCATGAATCAAAATGGTGAATCGACTATGCGATGTTACAATGAGATTTGGCTCAAGTAACTCTTGAGAATCGCGATCAAGATATACCTTTCTTTGACTATATTCATCCCTTGACGAGCCAGTAAACCACACACACTTACCTCAAAAAGAATATGCCACAAGGCGTAATTTCCATGTGAAGCATAAGATTCACATTATTATATAAAATAGGATTTTGTTTTATTACTTATTAAGTTAATACTTTTATATTTGTACAATTATCCTATCAAACCCTTTCTGTAACTCCACTTCAAATGCAATAAGGTGATGAGAGTGGCGAACCATGAATACCACTTAAAAACCGACCTCATTAGGAATCAAAGATACCTACCTTAAACCTTCCTTATTGCAATAAAGTGGACGAGCCTAGTCGAGGTTCGACTAACAATGCACTTTTAAGAAGCATGAGAGGACTTAATGTTTGTAGTTGATGTGATACATATAAATACTAGTTTTACAATATATATATATATATATATATATATATATATATATATATATATATATATATACATTTTGGGTTTATATGTCTTTTAATTCTATTAACTGAAAGTAAACAACTAAATTATTTAAGAGAGTCCTAATCTTTTAATTAATCTTATAATTAAATCAATTTGACTTTATCTTTTAGTATAAAGGCTAGTTTGTATGAGTTTAAAATCGAAAAGATTGGCAACTAGAATAGGAAAGGAATTTAGAAAAATCTGGAACTTCAGGTTCCACGACGTGGGGAAGGAACAACCATGTCATGGCACACTGAAAACATGCGATTTATTAAATTATTATTTTAGGTTCCCTGCAGCTAGCCACAATGTGGCCAAGAAGGAACCACGACGTGGCGACGAAGACAGTCGCAATCCGAATTCAGCATCGACCGAGCCCACGATGTGGTGGATGACCAACCACGATGTGGCGAAGTGGTAGAACGACCCGTTTTTCAAGAAAATTTGATTTTTATCAAGGCAAATTTCTAGTCATTTAAAATGATTTAAAACAGAAACTGTACACATACAAACCCTAACATACTTGTCAAGACAAAGTCTAAGTGCAATAGACTTGAGTTAACCAGGCTCTGATACCACTGATGCGTTTCTAGCCTATCAAAGATCAACTATTGGGCAATGGAAACAATAAACAATTCTGATCTAGAAGACTCAAAACAATATGGAGCTAACTCAATGAATCTAAGCTGCTTATTAGGACACAATAGTTAGAAATATACCTTTGATTTCTTGGTAGGTTTCTTCTTTTGACGAGCCAATTGGATGGACTAGAGAACCCAACATAGAGTTCCTCTTCTCAAATCGCATCCAAGACACAAGATAGGAGCATATCCAAGCAATCCTCGAACTGTGAGCTTCAAACAGAACAAGAAAATTGATTCAGCTGTTGACCACGATGTGGTGATATAGCTGCCACGATGTGGGAACTGCACTATTTTCAAATTAATTAACTAAATTATTAATTAACTAACAAAACAAGTCCCTCATATAAATATCTTTTCAGATTTGTTTTTATTTTGTTCTTCCGCATAACCAAAAAAGGACACTACTATATTATCGGGCTTGTATATTATTACCATGGTTGGGGCTCTCTGAATAGAGTAATAGACTCAAAAACTATTCCTGCTCTATGGAAAATATCCAAACATAATAAGTATACGGGTCTCAAATATTAAAATTTTATAGAACGACTAGCTCACACATCTTGTATTCTACTCTTAAATTCTATACATTGCGTCTCTAAAAAGACTTAAACTATTAACCTTTGGCCGAAGGGCAACAATCAAAGAACACCTGATACCGTTATGTCAAATATCCTTTGATGTCAAACTTTATATGGTATGCCCGCTAATTAATTTTCACCTAAGAAATAAAAAACAACTAGTAACAAAATTTGCAAATTAAAATATACACTTGCAGTACAAGAATTAAAAGATGATAAATATGTTTTACTAGAACCATTTCAATCTCTTTTTCTATGCTTACATTTCATATTTCACTGTATAATACCAAAGTAGAATGGTTAATAGTATCCCTAACAAATTCTCGAAAATTATTTTGGCATATTTTATAATCATAAATTCATAATGACTACCAATTAGAGATTAATTTTATTTTGTCAAATTAATATTAACAGGGAGGTCGATTCAGTCTTGATATGCAATTAGTTAATCACAAAGCAGTAATTTCACGCCTTTCGCGCTTGCAACAAAATATAAGTACCCTCAAGGAATGTATGTACCTTGTAAATATCGGAAGCAACGATTTTGTTAACAACTACTTTCTGCCTGACCATTACAACACAAGTAGCGTATATTCCACGAAAAAATATGCAGAAGTCCTTATGAAACAATACTCTAAGCAACTAAGGGTACACATCTTGTTACTTTCGTCTTCCTTATGCATTCATTATAATATTTTTTTTTTTTTCTGAAAAATACCCTTCTTCATTCCCATTTCCATATCGAGGTTCTCTTCATCATTTGGATGTTTGACAGACTTTGTATAAGATGGGAGCTAGGAAAGTTGCTTTATTTGCTCTGACTCAAATAGGCTGCACCCCTCTCGCGACAAGCAAGTTTGGTACCGATGGGAAACCATGTGTAAAGTCAATCAACAAAGCAGCCATGTTATTTAATCATAAGTTTAAGCCTCTTGTTGATGAGCTCAACACTAATAACGAAGATGCATTATTCACTTTCATCAACATTACGAGCATTTTATATCCACAAGGAGGTAAAATACGAGCAATGATTTTAATATGGGATTGTATACGTACCTGGTCTCATAGCTTGATTTTACTCTGTAACTCAGTGATGAAATCAGGTTTATGTATACACATGACATGATATAAACCATCTTCAGTGTTTTTTATTTGAAGGAAAATTTTCATGATGTTAAAAGTATAAAGATGAACTTATAAGATCCATTAGTTTGTAAGACACTTTTGGATTTTTCAGATAGGGCGATGCGAACTCCTCCTTGTTGCAAATTAGACGGAGAATGGGCATGCAAGGCTGGCTCCATCCCTTGCCCGTTTAGAATTTTTCATATTTACTACGATGCTCTTCATCCCTCTGAGATTTCAAATATAGCCATGGCAACAAGAGCATATCATGCTATTCATCCCGCTGATGCTTACCCATATGATATATATCATTTGGTGCGAGTTCAAAATTAATAAGATGTCATAATAAACATTAACTTGTTGTACATAAATATGAAAATAATGAAAAGTGTTACTATGCATTATTATTCATACTAAAAATGCAGGAATCAGTTTGCAAAATTTCCCTCTGTCCAACAATATTCATCCATCATATTATAAAATTTGTTAGTGAAAATTAAAAAATATATTTAATTAAATATTACGTGTAGGGCCGATTCAAAACGATTTGAGGCCTCAAACAAATCTTTATTCTAATAAATGAATAATTTTAATATCCTTTGGCAAGTGTCACTCTAATACAACTCCTCATTAATATTATGTCATGTGTCATGTAGATATATTAGGCAACTCATTTCAAAATTCAAATTTATATTTTCTAATTATATGTTAAATTTTAAGTTATAATAACTTTAAAATTTTGATATATCTCTTAATAAATAATTTATTTAAAATGACTTATTTAAAATAACTGATTAATAATTATAAATGTTTATTCGTGTGATGGGAAACCTTCCTGCACGGTTCGGAGAGCACTGAATTAGAATGAGAGGTTCACCACCACAGTTTAATTAATTTTATAATTGTGGTTAACACGGGTTATAAACTAGTTAAATAACAAAAGAAGATCCTTAACATTAATTTTTTAAGTGAAAAATTGATTAATTGCTTAGATTCAAAAAGAATCAGTTGAAATCTCTTCGTCTTCTCCACTAATTTTTGACTCCAATCTTGTTTTTCCTTTTTTTCCACTGCAGGTGACGATTTAATACAAAACATTTTTTTTCTCGTAATAATATAAGTAAATACATAAAAAAAAAATAAACCCTAAAAACTTGGAGGCCTCGGGAAACCGCCTATGCCGTTGTTAAGATTTATGGAGTCATGAACAAATTGACAAGTTCCTAAGAGTTTAAGGGCCATAAATGTAACTTAGCAATTAACAATTGAATTAATATTCAATTATTGAACGACCACTTGTTACGGTGCAAAAGGAAATTATTGGACGTCCACTAAAGCAATATTAAATTGTTTGTGGCAAAAGGAAATTATTGCATCACTATCACAACTCCACTTTCTCCATGTGCAGATGGAATTATTTCAAGCTATGGAGCTACTTTCTTCAATTGGCAGACAAATTGAATGGTGGAATTTACAAATTGATGGTGGAGCATTATTTAATTGGTGGAGATTGAATTCATGCACTAATATCCAACTATAAATAGGTCCTTCGGCAATTCAGAAAGAAAATCCCACAAGCTCAAAACAAAGAGCAGATAACAAGCCTTTTGAGCAGATAAATTCCAAAGAAAATATTGTGAGATATTTTGTGCAGAGTCTAAATTTGGCAGCCAAAATTAGAGTGATACAATATTGTGAGTGATCAGATTACAAGTGCAGTTTAAGCCTTGTATGATTGTAATTTTCTTTAGTGTTAATAAAATCTCCTCTCTCTCGTTCGCCCGTGGATGTAGCTCAGATTAGACCGAACCACGTTAAATATCGTGTTCAATTTCGTTTGCAATTTTTCAGTAGTTTTATTCCGCTAGTGTCACTGAAATCATTTATCGATTTGTTTGAAGTACTTAACTCGTTTTGTTGTATTCCAACAAACTGGTATCAGAGCTATGGCTGAAGATGGGAAAGTTAAGATCGAAAAATTTGATGGTCAAGATTTCGGTTTCTGGAAAATGCAAATTGAAGATTATCTCTACCAAAAGAAGTTACACCAACCTTTGTCCAAAGACAAACCCGAAGAGATGACGCAGGAGGAGTGGGACTTATTAGATCGGCAGGCACTCGGAGTGATAAGGTTATCATTGGCAAAGAATGTAGCTTACAATATTGTCAATGTGAAGACAACCTACAGTCTGATAAATGCGTTGTCTAATGTGTACGAAAAACCTTCAGCGGCAAATAAGGTTTTCTTGATCCGACAACTTGTAAATCTGAAGATGAAGGAGGGTAGCTCGGTGACAGATCACGTAAACGAATTCAACTCAATAATATCAAGATTGATATCTGTTGATATTGGATTTGAAGATGAAGTCATGGCGTTGCTACTATTATCATCGTTACCCGATAGTTGGTCCGGCACAGTGACCGCCGTTAGCAGTTCAGCCGGAGGTGCCAAGCTATCATTCGAAGGTATTCGCGATTTAATCCTTGGTGAGGATGTGCGCAGAAGGAGTGCCGGAGAAGGTTCCAGTAGTCTTCTAACTACTGAAGGCAGAGGAAGAAAGACCAACAGAGGAGGTGGTGGTAGAGGAAGATCGAAGTCAAGAAAGAGAGGTCAATCGAAGAACAGGAAAGATATTACCTGTTGGAACTGTAATGAGAAAGGTCATTTCAGAAATCAGTGCCCAAAGCCTTCGGCAGACAAAGGCAAGAAGGAAGTAAATATGGCAGCAGATTCTGAAGATGATGCACTCATTTGTTGTGTTGAAAACTCAACTGAATCCTGGATCATGGATTCTGGTGCGTCGTTTCATGCTAGTCATTCCAGAGAAGTAATGCATAATTTTAAGCAGTACAAAGGGAAAGTCAGATTAGCAGATAACAAGAGCCTGGATATTACTGGAGTTGGGGATGTGGTCCTCAAGACAACCTTGGGTACGAAGTGGACTTTGAAGAATGTCAAGTTCATTCCAGACTTGAAAAGGATGTTAATATCTGTGGGGCAGCTTGATGATGAAGGTCACCATGTTACATTTGGTGATCATCAGTGGAAAGTGACAAAGGAAAACTTAGTTGTTGCTAGAGGTCAGAAGCGGGGTACACTTTATATGGTGGAAGTTTCTGATGCTGAAGCACATGCTGTTGAAGAAGTTGGGGCATCTACTCTATGGCACCAAAGACTTGGCCATATGAGTGAGAAAGGAATGAAGATGCTAGCCTCCAAAGGAAGAATTCCAGATCTGAAGACTGTAACAGTTGATTTCTGTGAGCCATGTGTTCTTGGTAAACAGAAGAAAGTTACTTTCGTGAAGACTGGTCGTCCTCCCAAGTCCGGGAAGTTGGAGCTAGTACATTCAGATGTTTATGGTCCCACTTCAGTTTCTTCAGTGGGAGGGTCCCGATATTACGTTACTTTCATTGACGACTGCACAAGGAAAGTTTGGGTTTATTTCTTGAAGCATAAGTCTGAAGTTTTCAGCACATTCAAGAAATGGAAAGCTATTGTAGAGAATGAAACAAACTTGAAAATCAAGTGTTTCAGATCAGACAATGGGGGTGAATACAGTAGCAAAGAATTTGTTAATTATTGTGCTGACCAAGGAATCAGAATGCAGAAGACGGTTCCGGAGACACCTCAGCAAAATGGAGTACCAGAAAGGATGAACCGAACATTGAACGAGAGGGCTAAAAGCATGAGACTACATGCAGGTTTACCCAAGATGTTCTGGGCAGATTCGGTAAACACAGCTGCATATTTAATCAACAGAGGACCCTCAGTCCCCATAGGGTTCAAGATTCCAGAAGAGGAATGGCAAGGTCGGGAGATTTCGCTCAAACACTTGAAGGTATTTGGTTGTGTCTCGTATGTTAAAGTTAAAGACTCGGAGAGAGACAAGCTAGAGGCAAAGGCAAGGAAGTGCACCTTTATAGGTTACGGGTTGGATGACATGGGGTACCGCTTCTGGGATAATGAGAATAAGAAGGTTATCAGAAGTCGGGATGTGGTGTTCAACGAAAATGCTCTATACAAGGATGAACTTGCAAAAAGCTCCAATGGTGACAAGCAACCAGAAAAGAAGGATCAAGTTGAGTTAGAAGAAATCTCAGATGATGATGTTGTAAAACCTATTAGTACTCCAGAGATAGGTGAAAGTTCAGGAAGCAGTGGGAGCTCCGATGTATCTGGAGATAGTGGGAGCACAATGGATAGTAGTTCAGAAGATGAGGTTGCAGATGATGCAGAAACCGAAACTCCTATTATTCGTAGATCCACTAGAGCACGAAGACCTCCAGTAAGGTATTCTCCTTCAGCTAATTACTTGCTGTTGACTGAGAATGGTGAACCTGAATCTTATCCAGAGGCCTTAAGGATGAAAGATTCCATACAGTGGAAGACGGCTATGGAAGACGAGTTGAGCTCACTTGAAAAGAACCATACTTGGTCCTTGGTCAAGCTCCCGGCAGGGAAGAAAGCACTGCAGAACAAATGGGTGTTTCGGGTCAAAGATGAGATTGATGGCACTAAAAGATACAAGGCCAGATTGGTAGTAAAGGGTTTCCAACAAAAGAGGGGTGTTGACTACAACGAGATATTCTCCCCAGTTGTGAAGATGACTACAATCAGAATGGTCTTGGGAATTGTAGCCTCTGAAGATCTCCATCTAGAGCAGCTAGATGTGAAGACAGCTTTTCTCCATGGTGACCTGGAAGAAGACATCTACATGGCACAACCAGAGGGTTTCCCAACAGTTGGCAAGGAAAACCTGGTGTGCAAATTAAAGAAAAGTCTGTATGGATTGAAGCAAGCTCCAAGACAGTGGTACTTGAAGTTTGATAGCTTCATGCAGAGGAGTGGGTATCACAGATGTGAAATGGATCACTGTTGTTACTTGAAGAAATTCAACTCCTCATACATCATCCTGTTATTATATGTTGATGACATGTTGATAGCTGGGTCCGACATGCAGGAAATCAACAAGCTTAAGAAGCAGTTGTCCAGAGAGTTCGAGATGAAGGACTTAGGGGCTGCTAAGCAGATATTGGGCATGAGCATAGCCAGGAACAGAGTTACCGGTACATTAAAACTTTCACAAGCTAAGTACATCAAGAAAGTTTTAGAAAAGTTCAGCATGGCAGATGCTAAAGCCAGAAGTACACCTTTGGGAAGTCAGTTGAGACTCTCAAAGAAGCAATCCCCAAAGACGGAAGAAGACAAGAACCAGATGACTAAAGTTCCCTACGCATCTGCAGTTGGTAGCTTGATGTATGCTATGGTATGCACCAGACCAGACATTGCTCATGCAGTGGGAGTTGTGAGCAGGTTCATGTCAAATCCA